GTGTATATCTATATGATACATATATGTATGTACATGTATATATGTGTATATCTATATGATACATGTATGTATATACATGTATATATGTGTATATCTATATGGTACATGTATGTATATACATGTATATGTGTGTATATCTACATATGTATATGATACATATATGTATATACATGGATGTAGCCTCTGATTTATATTACATCTCTCTACTTTTAAGTGATTCTGTTATATTTAATTAAAAGATGTAGACTTGATTGCTAAAGTCTATTTAAGTATCTTCCATTTACAGTACATAAACATGAAATCTTATCCTAATATATTCTCATTCCATGTTTTAGGTGCCAAATTGAAGAGAGAACGTACAGAACAAGATGACTTGTTTTGCGAAGAAAAAATGCTCATTATCGACGGTGAGTGTTCTATTATTCAAAGAAAATGTCCCTTACAATTATCCTGTAAAGCGAAAGGGGAATTTCCATGATTTATTTGAACCAAAAGTGTACGATCATCCATAATACATAACATTATGGGACTTTTAAAATTTCTTCTGTCGCGAATACACGTACACTGTTTTAACTAGCCAATCGATTAGTCGTCCCTATTATGGCGATCATGTATAATTCACCGGCTTAAAAGTAACTTCACGCGTCTAGTGTCGATTACTAACCTGCCGTTGATCGACGGGATCCAGTTTCTTTACGTGGGGGAGGTGCTGTCATTCTTAAAGGGGTATTATCGTCTAGAAGTTTGTTTTTTCAGTAATTTTTAGGAATTAATTTTGCAAAAACTATCAAACCTACAGTACCAGGGTTTTTGATGCATAATAAAACACGTTTCAACTAACAACACAAATTTTTATGAAATACTTCATTGAAAAAAAAAACCAAAAGAAATGTTCATTTTCATACATTTCTCTTCTATGTGAACTAAGAAAATTCATACAAAAAAAATTTTAAACAACTTTTTCGTCAAGTTAAAATGATTTTTTCCACCCAAAGAACTCGTTCTTTTTTTCGAACTTGCAGTGATTTCACATTTCACCATTTTTGCGGGTTTTTCTTAGTTCACATAGAAGAGAAATGTATGAAAATGAAAATTTCTTTTGTTTTTTTTTGTGCCAAACCAAAATTACGATCTGCATTTTTCCCGCCGATAGGAGGTTTCAATTGTGAGGTGGTCTACAAATGTGCGTTACAGTCGACTCAATTTGAATATTTCTTGTTGAAAAAATTTCTACAGACTACTGAAATATGTATGAAAATAGGATAAAAAGTTCGATAGAATTAATTATTTTGTTTCCATCCTAAACAAATTCACGAAAAACCGCTTTTTTTTTTTAGACCTCCTAATTCAGGATACCGTCTTAACGCATTACTGTAGTGCCTCGTATAATGTTCGAGAATGGGGATCGCTGATTATCAACATGCGAGACACGAGTTAAGAATTTTTAAAGAATACTCGCGAGCGTAGAGGGTTACAATTCCGTAGCATATTCAAATTTCTTAATTCAATTACATCCACTAAGCCCCAAGTAACTCTAAGCACGTGAATATTTCTTTTATACCGATGACAAAACGATTCGGAGGCATTCGTCATTGAATGACGACCTAAGGCAATTAGGAAAATGTTATTCGATAACAGCTCTGGAGAGTAAAATATCGAGGGGTTAGAGGAGGGAGAGCACCGAAGCCCCGTTTGATCGAGCGACAAGGACAGAGTGTTGCGGGTGACTGGAGGCAGCTCTTGCGAGAACGGAGATGTCACGGAAGGCGGCGATGGCGGGTCGAGAGGAGATTGGTCGCCGCCGCTGCCGCCGTCGCCACTGGCGGCATGCTCGGGGCGAAGGGGTGGGGTAAGGGAGGAGGGGATCGTCATCCTCAGGTTGGAGGCGGTGGCACTTACGTTTAGACTTCAGTCGGCACCCGCGACTCACGCGGTACGAGTTTCCTTCGTTCGTCGAATTGCTCCGCGCGCACGATCAGTACGAGTGATCGGCCACGGACCTCGACCACCGCTCGATTTCATTTATCGATCGATGATCGTTGACACCAGTTACCCCACAGCACCGCGACGTAACCGCGCCGACGTAGTTTCGCTTTCAACGCGACGTTCGACAGTTTCGCTTAAAAGGACACGTCGTAGACACCGACGAACCGTCTAGTCAGATACGCGTAAAAGGTCGGTTGGTCGAGGTTGCATATCGGTGCAGACACCACAAGACGCCGCTTTTATCATTTACGATTATACAAGCAGTCAGTGAGATCCCCGTCACGTCGAAAGAATTGCGTAGCCGTGTTTAGAGATCGTTCGAATGGCACAGTGTTTCTCGATTGATCGATACGCGCCCGATGGTATTTAGACATTTTTCGCACGTTTGTCACATAAGAATCTTGAATCGAACGGAGGATCGATTAACCTCATCGTGCCCACACCTAGGTGCAGTGGATATTAGCTGTTTGTTTCTTTTTTAAACGCGTCGGATCGTTTTATTGCGAACGTGACGAAATTAATCTTGGAGGAAAGATTTGTTTAAAAGTGTAATCGATCACGTTCGTTGTTCATTGGGCCTACGTGTAAGCCATGGCAGTTTTGGCTCGATGAATATCGAGCAACGATTAAATTGAACGTTTCTCTAAATCTGAAAAAAAAAAAAAGATATGTCGTCAGTATAGCAATCTGTATTGCATGTTCGAGTGATGTTCACGTGTACAAGCGTGGACAGTGAACGTATTGTGCAATTACGATAATCCCGGTTCATCGTTGTATCGAAAAATCGAATTGAACGTCGTTACGAGCGGTGTACCAACCTTCGTACATTGTATTTTTTGCCGGACATCGGTATCTGTCGTTTGTCTCTCTGTTCGGGCCGTGTCGGTCACCGGTGACTGACACTCTCCGACATTCCTTCGTCTTTTTTAACGTGTATTATAAAGGAAGCCTAATATTCGTAAACTTGTGCGTAACATTAGTGTTTTTTGGGAATATTTTAGAATGTTAAATACGCTGTCCACGAATACACGTGAAGGATGATTCAGAATTCCTTGGAGTACAGTGGGTGTAGAATGTTTTCGTACACCGATCAATTTCCCAAAACACTTTTGTGTGAAATTGTACTTTCTTAACTTTTTTTTTTTATAATCAATGATATTTTACATATTCTTGGAAGTCTGTAAGATAGATATAGTCCAAACAACATTTACTGGTCAATGTAATTTGCGAAATTAACAAAAAAATGTGAAAAGTGGGTAAAAGTATAGAAGCAATAAGTATTTGTACGATTCTTACGACGAACCATTTACAGTAGAGTTTGTAACGTAAACACATTAGTTTATTGCTCCGTACGAATTAGTAATATAAAGTAATGTAAATTTCTTTTTTTTAACGAAGTTTTAAAAATTAAACAGTTGTGCGAATATTTATTGCTTCGATATTTCTATCGATCAATTGTTTTTTTCTTGTTAATTTCGCAACTTACATAAATAGCTATTTTTCTTTCTACTCCATCTATTCTAGAGATTTCCGAGAATATGTAGAATGTCATTGTTTATAAAAACTAAGTTAAATAAATTACAATTTTACATAGTTTTTTTTGGAAATTGATCGGTGTACGAATACTTTTTACACCCACTGTAGTTCTAAATGAAGAGGTTCGGTTGTAAGACCACTTCACTTTGCTTCAATACTAATACAATTTCTTGTACATATTTTTTTTTTGTACGGTGATCAGAGTCGTTATGTAGAAATAAAAAGATAGGGCAGTTAAGGTATTAAAGAATAATCTTTAAGAAGAAAGCAGCTGATATTATAATAGTAATAATATGAATTATCCGAAGTTGCGTGTATCGATAACGATATCGCGAACACGAATGGGTTAATTGAAAATTTATTCGAATCTGTTACGCTTACCTCGAAGGCGTTGAAGACTTTAATCCACAGAGAGCTTCGAAATTCTTGATCGATAATGGTCGACTAACTCTTTGCGGGCCTCCCTTTGGAACATGTTTGAACAAAACATCGAATATATGTAACATAGCATGAAATAGGGAACTAAGGGGAATAAAATAAAACTTGTAAGCAATATATTAACAACGTTTATTAGGAATAGTTATTCATACAGGTGTTTGCTAATTAAGGGGAATAAAATAAAACTTGTAAGCAATTTATTAACAACGTTTATTAGGAATAGTTATTCATACAGGTGTTTGCTAATTAAGGGGAATAAAATAAAACTTGTAAGCAATTTATTAACAACGTTTATTAGGAATAGTTATTCATACAAGTGTTTGCATGATATAATCATTTAGTGCACATGTCGACCATCGGTCGATTGACGATCGCAAAGGGTTAAATGTCTCCGTGTCGAAGACTCGATCAAGGATTCGCAGGCTATAGTACCATGACTGTTTCGAAAGTTCCCATTTTTTTTTTTTTTCTTTCCGTCGTATATAAATTGCGACCTCGTCGTATTCACTCGTCGTAACTGCCCCCCCCCTCTCTCTCTCTCTGTGAAACTGTGACGCAGCCCTCTCTCTTTTCCACGCGCTTCGCATTCCCGGTCGTTTCCACTTCTTTTCGACTAGTCGTCTGTTCGACGCGTCCTGGACAACAGTTTTATCGGTCGTCGCGAGGCTGCGCAATTCGACGCTCAGCACCGTGCGACGACGCGTGTATTTACCTTCGAGTCCTTCGTGCCTAAAACGGTGGAACATTGTTTATCGTTTATTCGTTTCTTTGAATTTCTATTCTACTATCGATTTTGTCAATCGATAATATTTTCATCATTTAAAAATCATCGGGGTGCACTAGGGGTGTCTCCGTGGATTATTAGTTGGAAATTGCCGGAAGAGCAGATATTAGATCGTCCCAAAAGTTTCTTTCGTAATTTGCACTCAATTATTTGTTGCGATAGTGTTTATATAAATAGACAATCTAATTTCTGAGATGTTGATGTAACAGTAATGGAGCAAAATGAATCGTACACAATTCAATAATGTAACATTAGACATAAAATATTGCGCATGTATTACTTATTAATCAAATGAAAGAAACTTTTGGGACAACCTAATTGATAGCAGATAGATACATTAGGTTTCAAAACGAATTCTGTGCCTTTCTATGGTAAACTTACCGGTTTATTTATAAAAAAAAAACAAACTATACAACTTAATTTTTCCTTAGTCATGTATTCCAAGGGAGGGACATATAGTCGTAAAACCAAATTTCAAAGTAACCTGTGGGGGATTCATTACTAGGTTGATACATTAACATAAAATGTCGAGTAACTATTTTTGTTTAAACTATATAGTTGGAAACGATTGCCTGTAAAGGAACAGAATTCATTTCTACACCTAATAGAACCTTGATAATTGATTTAGTTCATTCAAGCATTTTATTTTTAATTTGTTCGGTT